GTATTACAACGATGATATTTTAAGTAAAAGTGACGGTTTTTGCATTTTTTACAAACGAACAGCACTTTTATGGACTATATTATTGTTGTAATATGTTTTACTGTTTTAAAACACTAATATTTGTGTTTAGTGAAGTCTCCTGAGAATAACAGTACCCCCCATGTACAGGTTTTATGGTGTTTTGGAAAGTTAGAGAGTCACATATAAGGCTTGCATTTCATTTTTTTGACATTGAAATTTGCCAGATTGGTTATGTTGCCTTTGAGAGCGTATGGTAGCCCAGGAATGAGAATTACCCCCATGATGGCATACCATTTGCAAAAGTAGACAACCCAAGGTATTGCAAGTGGGGTATGTCCAGTCTTTCTTAGTAGCCACTTAGTTACAAACACTGGCCAAATATTTGTTTTTTTCATTTTTAACTTTGGCCAGTGTTTGTGACTAAGTGGCTACTAAAAAAGACTAAACATACCCCACTTTCAATACCTTGGGTTGTCTACTTTTTCAAATGGTATGCCATTATGGGGATAATTCTCATTCCTGGGCTACCACACCGTCTCAAAGGTAACATTACTAATCAGGCAAATTTCAATTTGAAAATGGAACGTTCTACCGTATATTTGACCCTGTAACTTTCCAAAACCCCATAAAACCTGTTAATGGGGGGTACTGTTGTACTCGTGAGACATCGCTGATTACAAATATTTGCATTTTTTGGCAGTTAAACCTAACAGTAATATGACATTCACAGCTAAAATGTCAGACGGAAATACAAATTAAAAAAAAAAATCTTATTTTCTCACATTTTATTAAATTGTATTCATAATAAATTATGTTCCATATATGAATAGTTAATGATAAATTAAAGCCCTGTTTCTCCTGAACAATATATATAATATATAATAAGTGTGGGAGCACTTAATGTGACAGCGGTGAATTACGGTTGAACAGACATATAGCGCAAATTCCAGTTTTTGTTTACGTTTTGTTTTGATCAGAACGTGCACTATTGACTCCCTCCTGAAAGGGTTAAAGGCATTTGAAAAAGTGGGAGTTGGAGTTATTAAAATGTTATTTTTCTATTTTTATTTTTCTACATAGAGTTAAAAAAATAGACCTGCCATAACCAATGTAGGGTTAACTTAACTACAGCCCCACACTGTGATTACTATTGGGGGAAGAAGCTTGCAATTTCCAAAGCACTAGAAGTAGCATAGAAACACATTGCATTTGATGTCAGTGAATGAAAGTGGGTGTAAGTAGCCTTGGTAGTAGCAAGTAGGCCAAAATAACTTTTTTTTTTTTATTTCCCGGATAATATGGGTGTCATTGTTACTGTCCTACACGACTCTGTCAAGTATTGGTACTATCCTTACCATGCTGCACACAAAGATGGTGGTATTAGTGGAGGAGGTAGCGATGGTGGAATGTTGTGAACACTGCCAGAATCACTATGTGCTCTTTTGCCTACCATAGTATTTGCTAGTTCTGCTTTATTTCTCAGTAATACAAAATACATGATATCTTTCAGATGTTGCTTTGTACTGGCACTAGTGAAATGACTTAATCAATGGTTGATTAATGCTAATGGAAATGTTGATAGTGTCAGTAAAGGTGATACTGCTTGTGGTGGTATTGGTGGTAGTTTTGGTGGTGGTAGTAGCATTTACAGTGGGTGAGCAACCTGTGCCAGTGGTGGCAGGTGCAGATGATGTATCAACTGTCTCCTCTGGATAACACCATTATACATCAGATACAGATGGAGTTGAATATGATGGACAAGATTCAGGATACAAGTGTACACTGGCTCCCAAAGAAAATACTGGGCTGCTGTTCTCTCCTCTATCAATTCCTATTCCAATAACTCAACATACTTATAGTCAAATGGCTCCTGGACCAGAGGTAAAAGTTCTATGTCTGCAGTGGTGGGGGAAGCTGAATTATCATCAGTTTCATCAGCACCTCTACCAAGACTGGACATTGAGGACAGTACTTTAGTGCTCTGTTGTGTGTCCTCATTAAAGATTAGCTCTGATGACCCCCACAAAGTAAACGCCAATATCTCTCCTTGAGTTGCTTCTTCAGGGGCTCACAAAATGACAGTTACAGTGAAAGTGGCAGCCCAAGTTATGCAGCATGAAAAGGATGGGGAAAAAATTATTGCCCCTGGGTGTTGAATCAAACATAGATGACATGCTGCTAATCCCATTATTTTCAGGCTGCATACTACTAGTAATGGAGTTGTCAACAGTCTTCATGCCAAGGTATTCTAACTCTCAGAAACCATGGCACTAAAGCTGATGGTGGAAGGGAGAACAGAGACCCTTCCCCTAACCTTTAACAATTTTGGCTTGGGAGTAGTAAGTGACATTAATGATGGCGGGTTTTTATTTTCTTATTTCATGAAATGAGATATACAAATGATTGTGTGTTGTATAAATTAGTACAAGTTTAAAGTTTAGAGTTTTCTTTCTTCAAACAAGTAAAAAAAAAACTAACTTTTAATTTACATTGGTAAGTTAGTGTCACACTAGGATCAATGATTTAGACCAGGCACACTGATTTTTTCTCTCCAAACAGTTAACAAAACCCCCAAAAAGCTTTAAACAGCTGTGTATTGATAACATAAACTCACATTAGGATGAAGAACTAAATTTGTGATCTCCTATCTCCCACTAAAGTTTTCTCTAGTGTTCCTGGCAGTACTAGCTGCTAGATACAGCATAAGGCTAAAACTAGTCTCAGAGTAGACCTTTGACCTATGCTAGGCAAAAATATTTTTTTTCCCGGCAATGCAGTCCCCAAAATAATGACTTTCTTACCTCGAAATAGCTAAGAAAAATAACTTTTACCAACAGTATACTGACTGTTCATGGCAGTATTACAACATAAAGCTAAAGCTTGCCTTACAGTAGAATCAACAATGACCCAGGCTATCTAATACTCCAGCACACGGTATCACTCCTGATTTGTCTCCCTTAATATCTGAAATCAAAGTGAAGAATCCTGCTTGGAAGTATAGCTGTTTTATTACTCCTTTTTTTCCCTCGTCAACATTTAATGGCTATCCCATAACCATTGTTCATCTTTATTTTGCTACCTCTTGACTGGACAGCCCACAGTAGCTGCTTATATACCCCCACTATGAAAAAAAAAATCTATCACATCAAATCATGAATGAAAACGAGCATGTTCGGGCCGGCAAGATACCCCAAGATTCTGTCAAGTGGCTCTTCAGAATTTCTTTGAATCCCTTAATTGGTACGATTTCGGATGGATTGTAGTGTGGCCTGAAACAAAGTCAAGTCTAGTGTATTCTTATGAATCCCTACAAACTAATTACCCATACTAAGTTGAAAACACATTGGGGTCGGCTGCAGCTGTCTAACAAGGCTATAATACAAATGCAAATAAAAAAATATATAGATCCAATTCAATATAAAACTAACTTTTCTCACCTGTATTCTCAAGAATTTCAAAAAATAAAAAAAAAGGAAAAAGGTGCATTTGTTTTACATACATTTTACATAGATTTTGATATATAAAATAACAAATGAAAACTGAATCCTCAAAGGAAGGAAACCTTAATGTTAGCAGAAGAATTTGAAAAGATAAAATAACAAAAGGCTGAAAACATAAAGTGTCCATTTAACATTGAATTGCAAACTTTCACATTGAATTGATTACCATTTCAATGACTGCAGAGAAATATGGTTATAGACTGTTAAATTACAACAACATGTACTGCTTACCTGTGTTAGTGCGGTATGAACTGGTATGAACTGGCAGTAAAGGATCACCCTGGCTTTGGCTGAGACTTCTCATAGGTGGCTTCTGATATACTCTGTCTTCATAAATGGGGTCTATGTGATGTTCTGGTGACTGCAAGCCCCTTAACTCAGAGCCCAAATGACTGTGCTGGCTAGTGTAAGATCCTCGAGATCCAGCTTAAAAAAAAAAAAAAAGACAAAAACAGGTTTATTTAATAAAAAAATGTAATGTTTTAAAATATAAAATGTTATAAACAAAACCAGTGCACATATTGCAGAAAATTACATGAAATAGTGCCACTGAATTTTGTTAACCTAGTTACCATGTTCCCAGAGCTTCCTAAAATTGATTTAAACCTGATTTCCCTGTATTACTGTATTTTCTCTCTTTTTTTTAAGCAAATAAAAATTCAGCAAATCAGCAAGTCCAGTGTTCTCTGCATTTGTAAAGGATTTATGGGCATATTAAAATACCTTTATAGCAAACATAAAAGTGTTTATAAAAGTGCTTGAGTGAAAATAAATGGATATACTAGTTAACCTAATAGATAAAAGCCAAAACAAGATACACTATTTATATGTTTACATTTTAGCAGTTTTATAAAACAAAAGCAAAGCTGAAGCCCAATAAGGCCAAAAAATTACTTCCAAAATTAAAAATATTCATGTTGTTCAATTTGGTGTTTTCAAAGATCAGACTAGACACCATAACCATTAAATGCCAGTGAATGTAGTGGTTATGTTGCCATCACACCAGGGGGTGCCGTTTCTTATATATATATATATAAAAAAAAAAATATATAAAACAGATAAAATTCGTACCTTTTTTATTGGACTAACAGAATTTTTTAATGACAAGCTTTCAGGAGAATCTCCCTTTCTCAAGTTACATAGTTACATAGTTAGATAGTTGAAAAGAGACTTGCGTCCATCAAGTTCAGCCTTCCTCACAAATGTTGTTGCTGTTGATCCAAAAGAAGGCAAAAAACCTGGTCTGAAGCGCTTCCAATTTTGCCATAAACTAGGAAAAAATTCCTTCTTGACCCCAAAATAGCAGTCAGATGTCTCCTTGCATCAAGCAGCTATTACCCCACTAATTAGAAATTATATCCCTGTATGTTATGTTTTTGTAAGTATTTATCCAATTTCAGTTTGAGTGTAGATAAGACACAGGTTTGTTAGAAAATAGACACCATCTTAGCAGAGGGCCATAAATATCTTTTTGAAGAGCAGAGTGAGGGGGGAGAGAGGGAAAAGAAAAACTGTCTGCTTGTTTGTTTTTCTTTTCCCTCTCTCCCCCCTCACTCTGCTCTTCAAAAAGATATTTATGACCCTCTGTTAAGATGGTGTCTATTTCCTAACAAACCTGTGTCTTATCTACACTCATGTCACTTTAACCCCTGTATCACAACTCAACTTTGAATTCTCTGTGTCGTCTTGCTCAGAAATGCTTCAGACTTGAGAAAGGGAGGTTCTCCCGAAAGCTTGTCATTAAAAAATTCTGTTAGTCCAATAAAAAAGGTATTACAAGATACAAATTTTATCTGTTTTTTACATCTACATCACTGGACTAATACGGCTACAATCTCTACTTGAACACTATGGTATATATATATATATATATATATATATTGGGCTTCTTGACATTACATTCCTCAACAAAATCCCTTGTATATTAGTCAGTTGTTCTTTTCATGGGTAGCATGACCTATGGACTATAGTATATAATGGAACTGATAATTAAATTGGCATAAAACACAACCTGGGAGTGCCAGGAAAATTAGAAAAATGAATTTGATAGTGGTGTTCTGTTTAACATAAGATTGCATTATTTATATTATTAATATATTTTAAAATACATTGTATGTGCCCTTTTGCAGACCTCTTGAATTAGATTAGTAAATATATAGTAACAACATTGAAAATTGGAAGAAAGTGGAATATAATTAGCTATAAATATATATTGAGGCTATAAACTGTTTTTTGTTTGTTTTTTCCACACACTTTAACTTATGTGTTTATTTGAAAGTCATATACTTGAGGTTATACATATCATACATGCTTTTTAATTGTATAAGTTGGTTTTAACAATCATTATCACTCATACTTTAGATCAGCACTATTCCATTTCCATAACTTGAACATTTTCAGAGACAGTTGGACCTAATATCACCTCTCTTGTCTGTTTCACATTCTCTTAAATAGATAAAATCATGACAATGCTGTTAGCAATTATGTATATTGGATTGGTTGAAGATATTGGACTATTGCATTTGGCTTTCATTTTATGCAGCCAAAAGTGAATTTAATTGTGTTTCGGATAAATATTTCAAAATATTTTACTTCAACAAAAAACAAACATTTAACAAAGCATGACATCATAAAATAAGAGCTTTAATGGGATATGTTGTGTCAGGCCATATTGAATAGATATATATGCTTGCTGTAAATGTGTTCAACTATTTCTTCATGTTTATCTCTTGTATAATAAAATCAATAAAACTTTATGTTCAAACATTTTGATAATAGTGCTGCATTAAAACACTTATGAAATGAGACTACAAAAAGAATTTGCTTCCTATATTTACAGTGATTAATGTTCTAAATTTGTCTCTAACTTCATCAATCATATCGATTTTGTTTTTAAGACCATACCCAATTTAATGGTATGACATCTATCAGAATCACTAACTAGTGAGCTGTGGTAAATTGACAACTCACAAAAATTTACCAAAATGATCTGGAAAGAGGAAATCTCAAACACAAGCTTAAAGGGACACCGTAGGCACTGTATCTGCTTCATCTCATTGAACAGGTTTTAATGTCTGGAGTCCCCTGGTACCATAATTTCTTTCAGCATTAAACAGTTTTTAATGTTTTTATGTTTTAATGCTAAACAAGAGTCCCCGGCAGTCCATCTCATCTGTGCAGCTTTGGCTAATAAGGAGGTATTAGCCTGAGCAGCATTGGACAGCTGTGATTGGCTGAGAGTGTCAGCTGACTGCTTTTAGCCTGTCAGAGCTCGAACTGACGGTATGAATGGGTATGACAACAAGGAAGTGTGTAATCTCTGCCTTAGCTACACATACTGAAGGGGCTGGACTGTAGGTGGCCAGGGACTCTTATGTTGTGTCATACTGCACGAACATGGTACAACCCTGAGTGGAGGGACAGTGCCAGGGCACTCCAGGCACTATAACCAATTCAAAGAGATGAAATGGCTATAGTGACTGCAGTGTCCCTTTAATTTGTTGGGTTGGCCAAAACAAATCATCCAAATTATAGACCAGCCTGTCGTGGATTTCCATTCCACAAAATGTGTAATGTTTACATAATAAATCAAAGTAATCATGATCTCTCCAGATGTCTACACATTAGATGCTGTGGCAGTTGGGACTAGATATAATGGGACCAGATCTAATTAAATATAGTCAGATTTAATTGTTTGAAAAAACGTAGTACAAAAGTTTAACCAAAAGCAATCTACAGTTCTTATCTAAGAGTTTTATTTTTGTTCTGTCCTTTCATCTAAGTAATATTATTAAGCTGAAAGCATTTTTACTTCTATTACCACATATTTCAAGAATATATTCCTTTGATTGAAAGCTGCATGTTTCTTCTCTGCATTAACTGGTAATCATATAACTTCTACAAGCTGAACAAATGTAATCCACAGTGAAGGTTAAGAAGTTTTGTAAATGTTTTTAAAATCCATTATAAATGATGTTTAGATGGTAACAAGTCCCTTAAAAACATCATTTTTTTAAATTCCTTAATGCTGACAAAGTGGAAACCACATGGTAAGTTAACTTCAAACATAGTTTAGTTAAACATCTTCAATACTGATTCTAGAGTTGATATGATACATGAAGTCATGGACTTTCATGGGGATAACTCCAAGCAACATTTATATTCATGGTGCTTGGAGTGTTCATTTCACAGGTTGCCAGTGACCTTCTCCTGTCCGCTGCTTGCACCCTTACTGCTAACTCGCACTTCCAGTACTTCTCGCAGGCAGCTCCCTTCTTTTGGAACAGCCTGCCTACCTCCATCAGACTCTGCCCTAGTCTCTAATTGTTTAAGAAGTCCCTCAAAACACATCTGCTTATGAAATGCATATGGACTCCCATATACTGTCTCTTGCTCTCCTAAAGAGCCATACTCCACTCTCACCTCCAGCTATGCTACTTTTCCACCTTGTTTGGTGGCTGTCACCCTTGCTGCCCTGTTGTGTATTTGTACCCCACCTCATCTAGACTGTAAGTTCATTTGAGCAGGGTCCTCATCTACCTATTGTTCCTGTGTCACTGTGTAATTGTCTCATGTATTGTAAATGTCCCCCCTTTTGGAATTAGTTGGTGCTATATAAATACCAATAATAATAATAATAATACTAATAACAGGTTGGCCATACTGCCAATAAGCTCCACCATTGGCTCCACCATGGGTGGCTGAACTCTTACTGAATTCTAGAAGGCTAGGTGGGGAGTTGTTTTAACTTCCCAGGTGGTTCAACAATTTTCAATTAGAAGCAGCTCGGCTTGCAGGGGGTTTCTGTGTGTACTGTGAGAGATTCAGATTATCAGGGAAGCAGCCTCATGGATTATAAATAAATAATACAATTATTATGCTGAGGCATCCATCGATAAATGCCACAATTCTACAATCTGTATGCATGTGCCTGAGCATATTGCACCACATGGGTTAGTTTAATTTACATTCCTTGCCCCAGCTGTGCATGGACAATTCAAAATAAACAATATAAACTAATGGTTTGTAAAAAAAAAAAAAACTAAATAGCACAACCGATAGATAACTGTTAGTTAGCTATTGTGTATGAATTAATCTCAAAGTTATAGTACCCCTTTTAATACCATATCTAAGGTAGCAAGGTCAAAGGTCAATTTCAATATCAAGGTCAATTCATTTTCAAATTACTACTTTATAGACTTGGAGATTCATTTGGTTCTGAACTACAATTTGTCTGACTTTGGACAGAATGGTTGATCAATCGAATTACTGAAAAGAAATGTTGCAAATACACACAGCAACTGAAAGTATGTTGAATACCACACATGTTGAGTTTCACTTGTGAATCTGAATTCTGATAGTGGCACCAGAAAATAAATAAATAAATGTTGGGGAAAAAAGATGATTGATAGTAGGCAACAGTCACTAAATGTTGATTTTAATCACAGATCAAGTGAGAAGTGACCAACGGAGGGGAAAAAGGAGGCGCGGTAAAAAAAGAGAAAAAAAAAAAAAAGGAAAAAAATCTATATTTATTTATTTATATGTGTAAACCACAGGAGTATTGATCTATCTATGAGATAAATCCTGAAGATCTCTGAACTAATAGTTATACTGGTGAGAGGTGCAATAAACACTGGTGGGTAGTGTGTGCTGACTATGTAACTCAAATGCGCATATTCTGTCCATCTGAGTAGAATTATTTCAAAGCACCCTTCTCACATTTTATCAGGAATAGCTAGATTACACAAGTGCAAAACAATTTTATGGTGCTACTCCAGTCCAGTCTCGCGAAGCACTTCCGCTTGCCTGTGCAAGGCCTTTTATTAAGCGATTGCTGCACCTGACTGGCACATTTGTGGCAATTTCTGCGTGTGTGCCATTTTTGGCCTAAGAGGAAGGGAGTCAGTTGCCACTGGCAAAGCAGTCAGAGGCAAAAGAAGACTCATTACTTCATTGTAAGGTAAGTAAAGTTTATTTTTAGGTTCATGGGGTGAGAGGGTGGGTCGCCAGGCATGTAAATGGGATAAAGGCCACCACAAGCATTAAAACCAAATATATTTTTTTAACATTGGAGTGATTCTTTAAGATGTAAAGCAAATTATTGACGACAGATAAAAACAACTTTATTTTAGACTTGGGTAGCATTTAATGGACACATGATTGTTAAAATTACAAATTATTTTACTCCATGTGAGGCTTTCTTTGTATACTATCTAAATCCATGTTTTTTTTACCTATAGTTTCAGAAATAAACAATTTACTTGCAGAAAACAAATACACATGTCCTGATACTAACAAGCAGATTTAAGTCTGGAATATTTATTGAGTCACAGCTTCATACTTTTAATGAGCATTTCTTGTTTGTTGTTTATCTATATATATCACATGGCATATCACATCTCAAATTACTTTCCTGAAAAAAACCTGTCTATTTGTAATTGTTTGAATTATGAAATATGTATTGTCATCATACAAAAATGTTCTTTCCATGGAAAAGTACTATGCAAAGCAAATAGTGAGCCTAACATGTATAGATAGTAACATGTTACTGTACCAGCAACGGTATC